CAGATTTGAATGCAGAGGCGGAGAGAGAGGAAGGGGAAGAAAAGAGAAAAATGGATTGATTTTGAAGCGATTTTACCTTTTTTTTCTGGTTCTATTCTCATGCTTCTCTGTACTGTTTTGCTGGGCTCTGCTTGTCTTCTACTTAGAATTTGTGGAATATCCTCCTAGACTTGGTAATCCATGAACTACTTGAATTTTATATTTTATACGTGTATTTTTTTTAAAAAAAAAAATTAAAATTTATTTAAATTATGAAAATGGTGGGATTACAAGTACGGTGAAAAAGAACACGAAACATTCTATACAAAGGGGTAGAAATCTCTGTAATAGACATATTTTGAAAACCATGAGGCTGACGATGATATTTAATGGACTAAAACCGATGATATTGGCTAGTGGTGGACTTGGAGCTATTACAAATGTGTCAACGAAGGTGCTGACCTCTAAGGATGATGGATTGTGAGATCCTTGTAAAGGTGTAGAAATCTCTCTTACAAAGGGGTAGAAATCTGTCGTACAAAAACCAAAAAAGGGAAGGGGATTATGGTGAGAAAAGAGTGGTAGGGTCTGAAGAAAGTCAGCTCATTAGGTGACCATGGATTGCAGCTGGAAACAAAAACAGAGGGTCAAGATTTGTAAGTTTTGGGGATCCTGTCGAGTTTTTGCTGGAAATGGACGGTTGTGATGTCGTTTTCTTCTTCTTCCTTATTTTCTTCTGCAGAATTAATAAGTTATGTTCATATTGAGGTAATTTTGAGGATTGATTCTTTTTTTTTTTAATTTAAATTATTCACGCCTATTTACTATTTTCAAATAAAAAATGAAACAAGATGATCTTTTTATGAACTAACAAAAAGAAATTGATTTATAAAAAAGTTATATTACAAACTTATTATTAATATAGTTTAATAAAACTTCATATATAATTTATATGGTCGATGTTCATTTGTTAGGTCTACGAACTAAATTCCAATTTTTAAATCATACCAAATTATTTTGGTTTGTCTGCCCTTAGAAAATAATTTGGTATGGTTCAGAAAAATAATTCATTTCGAGAGATATTAGTTTTAGTATTTTGTGACATCCAAGTAAAAGAGAGGTACGTGAATGTATTGAGACCGCGTTCAAATGAGAGCAATATTGAGGAAAAGATGACTAAGAAAAGCTGTAAAAGAATCGAAAGTACTACCTATACTAACAATGTGGGTCTTCCTTTTGAATAGCTCTATCGTAGGAACTTCATGGTTAAGTATGTTTTTTCTGAAGTAATCATAATTTGGTATGTCAGGAGTAAGTAGCGTGATCATATCATAGGGGATGCAAAAGAATGTCGGAGTTCCTACGATAGAGCGGGTGGGCATGTGGTACTTTGGTTGATATTTATTCAAAATTTAAAATTTTATTTGGTTGATAAAATGATTTATTATAATAATTAATTTCCCTATTAAATAATGAAGATGGAAAAGGACTCGTAATTAAAATGAGTTGTTGGGTGAGTAATAATAGAAGTTTATCGTATTAGAAAGGGGATTAATATTTTATTTGTTATTATAAGAATTAAAGCTGGGACGCAACTTGTTTAATTAATGCTATTTTTAGTACATTTAATAACCTAAATAATGCAATATTTAGGTCTAACAAAATCCTTATAACCTGCTATAATCAGATCAAAATTTAAGTCAAACCAATATTTTCTACTAAAATATAAATTTATAATTAAAGATCAATCATGCACACATACTCAAAAATAAATTATTTTATTTACAAAAAAAAAATATATATGAATTTTAATTTTTTATTATATACTTCATTTTATAAGAGAATCTCACCATCACAACTATATAATTAATTTTGTTGATAAATCAAATATGATAGAGTCATATCAATATTTAATAACACCTTCCCCAAATGTAATTTCTACCATCAATATTCAACCACTAAACTTCATTTATATATATATATATATATTTTTTAACTTTTAAAAATGTTACAAAATAAATATATATATATAGTTTAATTAAGTCTATACAAATTTGTGACGTTAGAAGCTATAAAGAAGGAAGGTGATTGGCTCTTTTTCCAATGGGAAAAAGGGAGTTTATAGATATTTTTGACTTCCCTTTCTTTCGCTTTTTCCCACCTTCTCCTTTCCCTTACTTCAATGCGCATTTTCGTTTTTAATATTTAAATTTCAAAAATATTTGCCTTTTTATTATTATTATTATTATTATTTTCCATATTAATTCGTTGGACTAATAATGATAACTGGAGAGAAGAAAAAGTTAAAAAGAATTCTCGAGCGCGGTCTAAGGTGTGAAAACGAGGTTGTGGGAGTGCAATACAAGCATCGTACTGCTGGGTAACATAGCGAAATGCTACACCCTAGGCCAAACGTGCCTCCTATTTAGGAATAGGACGAGCCATAAATACTTGTCGTGCATACCACTGTCAATTGGATAAAAACTCTCTCCCATCTTACGGGTCACAACGAAGGGGCATAAAATTGATCGAGGATATTCTATAATAGCTCAAGTTCACCACACCTTTACAAAAATACTTCTTTTCTCTCTCTAACCAATGTGAGATATTACAATCTACCCTTCTTGGGGGCCAGTGTCTTTGCTGCCACACCACCCAATATCATGGCTCTAAACCCATTTGTAACAGTTTTAACTCACTGCTAGTAGATATTGTCCCATTTAAGCTTTTCCTGCTTCTACTCAGGATTTTACGCAGTTGTTGGGATGTTTTCATGCCGTTATAAAGAATACGTTATTTTTCTTTCCAACCGATGTGAGATCTCACATATTCGAATAAGTCAAATGAGGAATTTACTCGAAATGAGGATGTCCAAGAAGAGATGTCCTGTACGGTATGGAACCATCTTTTTTTAATTCACGAGACAAAAGCAAGCAATATAAGATACGACAATTCATTTAGCTAAAATATAATGAGCTTGCATTGGGAAGGGAAAGCTTTCACAAATACCAAAAATAAAACACAAATTATGGCGACCCCGAAATTTGGAGACAAAATGAATTGTTTTATGGACTCGAAGCCATTGTTTGGTTCTAAGGCTTTTGTTCATGTCGGAACGCAAATAAGGGAATTATCCCTTTTATTTTTTAATATTACTTTTTAACTAAAAACACTTTTTTATTAATCTTAATTAATTAATTAATTGATTCATTATATCAAGATGGTTATTCAATATTATTTGATAAACAACATACTTTATATTCTGATTATTTAAATCCAAATATTATTTGCTGCTAAAAATTGTCAATGCACTTGAGAGTATTTTAGTAACATCGGACTACGGGTTACGATCAAAATATTAATTAATAATACTACATAATTTCCAATTATTAACACCACGATAAATAATTTGAAAATGTATTAAAATAGAAATTATATTTCACCTGAATGGGCCTGAGCCCATTATACAGTAGCCGGCTTTTTATATTTTGGGTAGAAAAGTGGAATGAAAAATGAAATGTCAAGAATGGGATTCGAACCCATGCCCTTTCGGACCAGTACCTGAAACTGGCGCCTTAGACCAACTCGGCCATCTTGACTCTTGTTTACATTTTCACGTTAACCATATAGAGCATTATCTAAATTAATCTTACAAAAATGACGTCGCTTTCATAAAATCCGACACGTAAATATTTGTTGCCTGTGAAATTCATCAATCCTCTATTGTTCAAGCAGCACACCCGGCGGCGCAACCGCCGCCGTACAGCTCAACGTCCGCCGTGGAATTCCTCTCCTTTGAGATGCCATCGGAGCAAGAGAAAGTTATAAGGGAGATAATAGAGAGTGTAAACAGAGCCGCCAAGAAGAGGCAAGAAATGTCACCGGAGAGGCCAAAACTTCGATTAACGCTGCCAATCTCTCCGATCAGTCTGGCCATTTCTGGAACCCTGTCTGTTTTTGAGAGAAAAGGCAGTTAAGTTGTTGTTGATCCTCCATTGGGGTGGCTTTATAGTGCTCAAAACTCAAATTTGATCTGGACCAACGCTTTTGGGAGGCAAAAATGTGAGAATTTGGAGTGTAAAATGAGGGTAGTGGATGCTTCATGGTTGTGTATTTTTTGCGTGCATTATCATCCCACTCTTCATTGCAAAGCAATACCATACACATAAAGCAACCCATCATTATATTCCAAACAATAATTTGGCTTACTTTTCACACTTTTGGGAAATTTTAAAAATCTTTTACTTTCCTTCGTTCCATCAAATTATAATTTAGATTAGATTCTCGACATATAAAGGATCCGATATTCTTTTGCGACATAGTCATGTTACTTACTGTTCGCTTCTATGAGTAACGATTATCCCACCTACCAACACTAGTCCTTCCTATATATTTTGTCCTAATTTGTTATAGGCAGTGATTTTCAATTCTTTAATCATCTTATCTTTATGATCGTTCTCATTCAGATAGTCTCGGTTCATTCATCTATTCCTATACTTGAAAATTCAAAGCATTCTTAAACAAGTCCAAATTGTATACTTAACCCGAAATAATCCAAAAAAAATTGTTTTAAGAATAAAGCAAAGGAATATGCATAAAAAGTAGGAAGAGATTAAGGAAACAATATTTATTGGTCCTATGTTTTGAATCAATGATGTTTCAATAATTGCACTAAAATATTGGTATGAATTAAAAACTTTAAGCCTTTGACCCACCCAACTTAGGCCATTACTACCCCAATTCAACCTCCACGTGAAATTACAAATCTACCCTTACAAACCCATAATTTTCTTCATTAATCTCCTCTGCTCTTGAAAACTTAGTAATAGCGTTGAAGGCACGACCCGACCAGTTAAAGTCAGGAGCGCATCACTGACAGAAAGAATCGAGCGAACCGGTGCTTACTATAGGCGGACTAATCGACCCAACTCAAGATCCAACTACGACCATTTTAGCTACAACAACTTTTGAAGTTTTGATGATTAAACTTGATGATCTACCTTGTTAATATAGGACCATAATTTCATATCATAGCAATCACTCTCGTTCAAATACAATATCGATTCATTTACGTACCTTTTTAGAGGCAATTTATTACATTAAAACCCGTTATTTAGAATAAGAAATGCACTCATGAATCCAAATTATGCTATGGCCTTATCTGAGTTTCTTGTCCTTAACAGGTCCTCTGGGGATCTTGTTGAGGAACTTGGCGTCGAAATTTCTGTAAGATTTCTTGGTGTGATAAATGGCCTTCCCAGCCAAATGATCAACCTCTTCTTCATACTTCACGTACAGAAATGGCAGAGTTTCCAACGCCACAAACCCTTCATCATTTAACAAACACAAAACAAAACACCCATCAAAAGTTGCTTTAATTTTGGTAAAAAACCAAACGTTCTTTAATGATTCTTTGAGTGAGAATCAGTTCTTCCTTACCGAAATAAACAAGATTCAGAAAGCTCACATACGATCCAATCACTGACAAAAGATATAGAGACACAATTGCCTGAAAATCAACATTTCAACTTCATTAGTTTCCGTTGCCGTTTAACCGGTGGGGCCGGGGTCCCGAACGGTTCAAGAGAAAATGGAGAGAGATTTTTCCCGTTATATAGGAATGTGTAAGGGCTCAAGTCCATTGATAGGAGATATTGTCCTCGGTGGACTTTCCCCTGTAGGCTTCCCCTCAAGGCTTTAAAATGCGTCTGCTACGGAAAGGTTTCTACACCTTTCTAAAGGGTGTTTTGTTCTCCTCCCCAACCAATGTGAGACATCACAATCCACCCCCTTCTGGGCCCAGCATCCTCGTTGGCACTCGTTCTTTTCTCCAATGGATGTGGGACCTCCACCAAATCTACCCCCTTTGGGGCCAGCGTCCTTACTGACACACTGCCTCGTGTCTACTCCTTTGGGGAACAACGAGATTTTGTCCCTTATATAGGAATGAGAGAGGACAAACATGTTAGGAACCACAACCCTCCATAATGGTATGATATTGTCCCCTCTGAGCATAAGCTTTTGTGGCTTTACTTTTGGTTTTTTCAAAAGGCATCATACCATGGAGATGTTGTAACAGCCTGAGCTCACAACTAGCAGACATTGTCCGCTTTGGCCCGTTACTTATCACCGTCAACCTCACGGTTTTAAAACATGTCGGATAGGAAGAGGTTTTTACATCCTTATAAGAAATGCTCGTTTCCCTCTTCAACCGAGGTGGGATCTCACATATGTATTCCTTACTTATAAATCCATGATCATCCCATTAAGTAGCCAATTAATTAGCCAACGTCGAGATGGAATATGAATATTTTGAGTATTAAGGTGTAAAAGATGTATGATATATACCAGAAAGAAGAGTGGGAGATCTTTTCCATAAGCTATGTCGAAGATCTTTGATAAGAACTGGTTGATTCTTCTATGGAAAGTGGATGCAACTTCTTTGAATGCTGAGTCTTTTAATATCACTTCAGGCAACCGAGGAGGGTTCCTGAATATCATTGACTCAAGTTTATGAACAAATATGATCAAACAAACCACTAAAGTTGGTATAGATAATACCATTTGAAGATTTCAGCTCCCGTGCACCAAATGAAGAAGATGAGCATGGAGGTGATAGAGAGGTGGCAGACAAGGGTCACAAATTTATATTCAACGACCTCGAACAGAAACCACAACGTTGTCATCCCCAACAGCAATGCACCCGACATCTTCGTGTCTCTCCATAACAAGATGTCGGCGACTGCATTCACAATTGAAGAAGCTCATTTCGAAGCAAATCAAATAGTTATTAAACGAGACTTTAGAGGGTATTAGATTTTACCTTTTCCCCCTCCGAGAATTTCATGGACGGGACGGCGGCGTCCGAAGAGCTTTGAGGGAGCTGCCGAATCATCGTCGGAGTCGGTGTAGGTCGACATGATGTAGTAGGTCAGAGATTGGGTGACAGGTGAAGTAAGTTTGGTGTATATGAAAGGAATAAGGGTTCTAAGCTTGATGGTAAAGAAAGCTAAGTTAAAGGAAGGAATGGCTTGTGGGATATGGGTGTGTGGGCGTGTCTTTCCTTTTGCATAGCCGCCACTACAAGAAAGGCAGTTGCTCATCATATTTTTGTTAAACACGACAGCCTTGTTTCTTAGGTTCTTGTTCTGTAACATTTTCTTACAAAATCATGGTCGCAGTTTTGCATAGCCGCCACTAATTTGGCTTGAGATCACCAAAAAGGATTAGCCCAAATGTAAGTAATCCAAACTTAGAATTTGAATAATCTCTAAGTCTTGAGCCCAAAAGTTGGGTCTGGGTAGCACTTTCCTTTTCGGTGACTCAATCAAAGGAACTCCAGAGTCGATTATGCCTAGTTTGAAGAAATCTTATATTGGATGACCTCTTGAAAATTATCATAGGAAATATATGAGTGAGGACAAATCATACTAAAAGGACTCGTGTTGGTTTGAGTGGATAATCTTCACTCTTATAAATTATTAAATATAAGTAAAATGGTCATGTCACAGAGAATTTTCGAGAATGTTGAAACTATCAAGTTCTAATTTGACTTTTAAATTCTAGATATGAATAATGAGCAGGTAGCGTTACAAATGGTAGTAAAGCATAATCTCTTCTATATGATGTGGTTTAAGGACGAATCAAAATGAAAATTGGTGAGTAGTGACACCTGAGTAAAGAAATGATACATTAGTGAACTAAGATCATATTCGAATGAAAACATTCTTAGAGGTGAAATTACAATGGTAACCTGTGAGATCCCACATTGGTTGGAGAGGGAAACGAAACATTCCTTATCAATGTATGAAAACCTCTCTCTAGCATACACATTTTGAAACCGCGAGGCCGACAGCGATACGTAACGTGCCAAAGTAGACAATATCGGCTAGTAGTGGGCTTGGACTGTTACAAATGGTATCAGAGCCAGACACCGGGTGGTGTGCCAGCAAGGACGCTGGGCCTCAAGGGGGGTGGATTGTGATATCCGGCATCGGTTGGAGAGGGGAACGAAACATTTCTTATAAGAGTGTGGAAACCTCTCCCTAACAAATACATTTTAAAACCGTGAAGCTGACAACGATATGTAAAGGACTAAAGCGGACGATATCTACTAGCGGTGCACTCAAGCTATTATATAACAAAACATTTGAAATGAGTAAAAAGTTGAAGTAATATTTATAGTATTATAGAAATGGGAAATGTTAAAAGAAAAAGGAAAGAATTAAAGTGGAGAATTGGGAGCATGCTTAGCGTTAGTGCGATAATAATAATTGTTAGAACATGCAAAGGAGGCAACCTATCATGATTTTGAAGGCCCCATTTAATCATTCTAACCAAACCATCCCCCAATGCCATCACTTCCACCTGCGTTTTCATCCATTCCTTCAACACATTTTAAATTTGGATACCTATACCCACATGAGAAATTAAGAGACGGGAACAAGAAACCTCTCACTAACGGACGCTTTCAGGTTGATGGCGAAATACGAGACTCTGAGCATAGCTTAAATAGTCCAACTGTCTCGTGTGTGTCGTAGCTTCAAATTCTTTTTCCGCATATGTAAATCCTTTTTAAACAGTTTTATCGAACACAATCAAGATTTGACAATAGAATCGTTCTTTAAAAACTCGTATCTCTCAACTTTGGATTACTTTGTTAAGATTGTTGAGTAATTTTGAGGGTGAATAGGATTTCTTAAGACTAAAAAAGGGTAAAAAGACAAAGGTGATGGTGAATTTGGAAAAGGAGGTGTATTCAATGATGGCAATCCATGTGGGTGCTCAATGAGAAGAACACTATTCCTATGGATGGAGATGTAACAATGATTCCCATCAACCTCACCGAAAGAAACCACAGCCCCATTACAATGATTTAAAGGCAAAAAGCAGAAGCCAAAACAATAGCCAAAACAGAAACACAGGGATAAAAATTGTTTGATAATCATTAGGGGATCACCTTTCATACATCTTTCTCTGTACTTGTGCTACAAATGCTTGAATATATTCGATATTTCATGCCTAATCATGGAAACAGGGAGTTCATTCTTTGTTATTTCAAACTATTTTCACTCATTTCAATTCTAGAAGGTTTCCCGATCTACGTATGTGAAAGGTAACCACTACATCTGGGCCAGTGGCCTAAGTGAGCTACCCCATGTTACATGTGTGTCATCGTGTAGGCAAGAATTGTAAGATGAGTATCTTGGATTTTTGAGAACAGTGTTGGACGGTAAGGGCGTGTCTACATTGTGCTCTTACTCTTGAATCGGAGGTTGGTATATAGGACCGCTTTTGGTACAGTATCCAGAAACAACTCAACCTGGACATGTAGGAGTTCATGCTTTGATAGTGTCTTGATGGATAGATGTTCGAGGTGTCCCTATTATAAAGTTGACTAATTGGTCAGAACGAAGCATTTCTTATGAGAGTGTAGAAACCTTTTCCTAATAGATGCGTTTTAAAACCGTGAGGTTGATGATGATACGTAATGGGCTAAAGTGAACAATATTTGCTAACAGTGGGCTTGAGCTATTACAGGTCGATTCTCGAGCGAGCAGTGCAAGCCGATAACATCCCGAGACTTAGAATGACATCATAAAGTGTAGACCGTATTGTTGGAAATAAAAAAACAACGAGATGAGATGCAACGTTAGATGATTGAGAAGTCGAGAGACCAACCAGAGATCTTTGATGCCACTATTTGTCCTTTTGTACTGAGATTTTCAAAGTAGCTGAAATTACAGGAAGACCATTATGGAGGGTATAAATTGAGAAGCAACTCAAGCCATTTTCACCCAACATTCCTCATATCTCTCTCTCTCTAAGCCAAACACTTGGAAAGTTGAAGTATCCATTGAGGGAAATGAAGGCATCACAGATTGCAGTAAGCATGATGGTAATGTTTATGATGATGGAGGTGTGCGTGGCAGTGACATGCAGTCCAGTGCAGCTGAGTTCCTGCGTGAGTGCAATAACATCTTCAGTTCCACCTTCCAAGCTCTGCTGCTCTAAGATTAAGGAACAGAAGCCCTGCCTCTGCAAGTACATGCAGAACCCCACTTTAAAGAAGTTTGTGGACTCTCCCAATGCCAGGAGAGTTGCTAACACTTGTGGAACTCCATTTCCCAAGTGCTAGAGCCTTTCCTCATCATGGGACTTTTAAACATCTTTCATTTCTACTGTCTTGCGTCCTTTATTATGTGCTTGATTACCACCTAAAAACATAATCTATGTGTGTGGGTGTGTGTGAATTCAGTGTGTCAGGTAGTGAATGTGTTGGGTCATGGCTCCTATGACATCCCATTTTCTTGTGTTGGCTCATGTTCTTCTCGTATGATTTGTCTGTAATAGATATCAGCTTTTGGGGACAAATCTTCTCACCCCCTTCTTAGTTCAAACTATATTATGAACATGTGTATGATCAGGAGAGTGAGCCTCAAAAACGGATAATTATTACAGCAGACTAATATTTGGTATTATCACACCAGTGTGGATGCGGAACGAGGGTGTAACGGTCCAAGTCCACCGCTAATAAATATTGTCTTCTTTGGGCTTTTCCTTTCAAGTTTTCCCTCAAGGTTTTTAAAACGCGTTTACTAGGGAGAGGTTTCCACGCCCTTATAAAGAATGTTTCGTTCTCCTCCCCAACCTACGTGGGATCTCACAGAGGGACCCGACCATGTCACTCTCTTTATCAAGTTTGGCAGCTCGACTCAGCTCGGCCTGGCTACTAGATCTCTCATCTTTTACGTCTGATCTCTTCTCTCTCGCCAATTCCCTCTTCCTTCTTGATTGCCCTCATGTCCAACCCTCCACCATCCTTTGTGTTCATTCAATCGATGGACGTTCTTGTGACCAGTTAGTGGCGGAGTTTCAATTGGGTCCATTTTTATAGATATGAGTTTAATACTTCTTTAAGTGAGTGAGACTACTTATTGATTACTTACGAGACATGTATCGATGTCGTTCGATCTAGCGAGACTATAGATATGGTGATAAACCAAGGTCTTGCCTTAAGGTCCTTCCTCTCTTTTTCAAACATTACGCTCTTTGATTAGTGTATGCAAACTATGTTTCTGCTTGTCTTCAAATGTTTATATATGCACGTTCGCAATAACAGGTGTTCGATCCGGAGTATAATAAGTTGGGATCTTGAAGATAGAATTATTTTACTTAGATTAGAATTAATGATTGGAAAAGATAAACCTTGTGTCGAATCAGACACAATAATAATAGGAATTATGGAGGGAAAACTCCAAAATGAATCAAGATATACAAAAGGAATGAGAAGGTAAAAAAGAAGGAATTTTCACAAATTAAGTAGGTTTGAAATTTGGTTCCATCCCATGATCCATGGTCTTTTGTCGGATGGAGCAGCAAAATTGAGTTCAAACATCTCTCTGGACACGTTGCCTCCTTCACAGAACCCTACAAGCTTTGCCACAATCTCCGCACTCTGTTGAATATGCTTAGGGTCGTGAGGATTTGTCCAAAGCTTGTTTACAAATTGGATTTTCCTCTGTTTCCCTTCAAGTGGTACTTCCCATTTCATGTACAACGCATCTCTTTCTTCTGCTGTCAAACGTGAGGTTAATCTCTTTGCAAGAAACTCTCTTTCACGTCTCAACGCCCTCATACTACATAAAAAAGAAACAACATTCATCAGCATATTCCAATTGATTGATCAGCAGCATTAAGAGGCATTCGTGGAGAGAAGAGAAAGAGAAAAAAACCTTGAGGAGCGAGAGATCGATGGCTCGTCTCCAGCGTGAGCTGGACTAGCATTGCCACCTTCTGCTAAGTGATCCTCCAGCCATGTTAAGCGCCTCATCTCGACTTCCAGGTAGATCTGATCAGCCGGGTCGCCCTTGAATAGCAAGTAGAATTGAGATCTGTGAATAATGGAGACGTAGCAAGCATCCCATAACTCAATGATCTGCTGTCTTTGCTCCCTGAAAGTTATATGCCATGGAACTTGCTCATCCTCCGGCTCAAATGTGTTCTCATCACAATCTAATTTGTTCCCAGCTGCTTCGTTTGCTTCCAGCTCAAGGACCTATACACAGACAACATGGAAAAGCAGTACATGCAGGCTTAGTGGTGATATGGAAGACAAAAGGTTATATTATATAGAAGAAATCCAAACAGAAGCAATAGCACACCTGACAAACAAGTAGCTGTTTCTGGTACTGCAGTTTAGCCACACGCTCTTTCAATTCTGTCACGTATGCTCTAATGCTTCTTACGTTTTCTTCTGCTGCATTTTGGAACATCTTTTGCATCTTCTTCATGTTCACAGAACTTGATCTTCGATAACATGGAGTGCTCTCCTTTGAGGAGATATCTCCACCTTCTTCACTTGACTTTGTTGGAGTCTCTTTCTCGGACTTGAGTAGAGTCTCAGGTGAGAAGACATCATCATAATCAGGAGCTCTATTTTCGATATCGGACTCCAGTACTTGCTGTGAAGTTGTTGAAGGTGAGCAAGGCGATCTTAAAAAGTTTTGCCGGTTGGCGACATTACTTAAGGCCAAAGGAAGCAACGTCTTCTTTTTGGTATAACTTTTTTGTTTGGGGGTTGATTCACTGCTCATTAACTGCTGATAATTGCTCGGTAGAGACATTACCAACTTGTCAATGGACTTCTGAACATTTTCAAGTTGCTCCTCTAGATCTGCAATGGTGCTACCTTGAGAATGAAGCCGTGTTATCTCTTCCTTAAGATTAGCACCTACACTCTGGTTAGTAGCAATAACGCTCCCAACCTCGACCTCTTTTGATTCTGAACGGACCGATCTCATTTCTCCAATTTCAGCCTGCAGCTTGGCAATAGTTTCTGCTGCATCTTGGTTCCCCAGTCTGTGACAAGCCACCTCCTTTTGTAATACTTCGAGGGCTTTATTGGCTTCCTTCCCAAGCTGCTCCTGGAGATGTTCCAACTTGCGAATTTCATGCATGAGTGTGAAAGGAGCGGTAGACGATTGTCTCATCATAGACTGCCTTAATATCATACCACGGCCAAGGTCCTTGCCGCCATCGAGTTTCTGAGGCAATGTACCAGTAAAGGACAAGCACTTCTTCACTGGAGGACGGGCAGGTTCAATTGGTTTAGAACCCTGAAAATAATAAAGATGGATGTTTTTATTTTCTGATCTCAAGGAACATGTAGGATTTTCGTGAGTGAGTATAAGATGAGAGGAGGGAGGGAGAGAAACCTGCTGATCCACCTCAAGTTTCCTGCGGAGCTCATCAACCTGAGATTGTGCAAGGTCTCTTTGTCGTTTTAATTCTTCAATCTCCATTTCCATCTGGATTTTTAATCAAATATTAAGTTTGAGTTGATTCATTGAATTTCGTGTCGACAAATTATCAAACTGAAATGTAAGCTACCTGCTGGATTTTTAAATCTTTTTCCCTTTTCGGATCAGGAGTGCGCAGTTCTGCTTCTAGCCTAGCAACTTCCTTCTGTAAGTGTTTAACCAATTGCTTGTCCGATACAACCTGTGCAAGATTTTCAAATCAGAAGTTACAAAGGAGTTCCGTTTGCATCACAATTACAACTGTGATGATGATAAATTTAGTTCCTTACCATATTAACTTGGGCGTTATTAGTCACTTCCTTCGCCCGGGTGGCAAAGTACAAAGTGTTCCGCGATTGTTCAACATGAGTCAGGGCTGGACTCAGTGTGCATATAATCGCGGTTCGAGCATTTCCACCAAGTGAATGCTGCAATATGCGGGTGAGCTTTGAGTCTCTGTAAGGTATATGGCCACTTCTCTTTCCTTGACTGCAACAATAAACAGAAAACTTCAGATCTGCATAAAAATTTCAGATATAATGAATGTTATTGCTTTCATGAAACAGATTCTGACCTTAGCTTTCTGATCACAGTTGTGAGTGTCATCAAACTAAGATTAATATGGCAGCCTTCTCTTAACCTAGCACCATCAGCATGTGTCTGCGAAGCTCTCTCACTTCCAGCTAGATCCACAAAGTTCTGCACAATGTTGAAACTAGTAAGCCCAAGAAAAAGTTCATATAAGAGTACAAGATTGCATATAAAAAAAACTGTCCTACCAAGCTTGCCACAAAAGTCCTCACGCAATCTGAAGTCTCTCGTAGGGTACTTTGAATTGTCTGTATAAACAATCAAAAGAAGTTATGGAACATCCAAAAGTTGAAATAGAAAACCTTTGAGGTAAGAGTATCAAAGGTGAATAATTTTCACAAAACTAACCAGTCTTATTATCTGATGTGAACGGGAGCTATGATCATTTAAGGCAGTTTCACCAACTTGTCTTTGTGCTACAAAGTAAAATTGAATTAATGTTAAGGCAATGTACTCTGGAGGACATTGAACAAACTTCAAGTGATCAGTTCTTACCCTCGCAGATGCTAATCAATTGTCTCAAATGTCGATCATCATTTGCCGTTTCCTCTACTAATTTCTCAACCATTGTACCTTTCTGCATAAAGGAAATCACAATTTTCAGTTAATTGTTATCAGAATTCACACAATGGAGCATGCTTCCTTTAACCCTTACACATGTAGTTATGAATAGTACCTCAGGATCATCAAGAAGCTTTAGATTACGACCTGATTCGGTATTCAAAAGATCCCTAACATTCTCGTTGTATATTTCGAGTCCTGAAATTCTTATTGTAAAATCTCTCTCGGGTGTCTGTAAAATAATCAAGGGATGGTTAATTAAGGCGAGCAATAGTAGCAGAAAATAATTCAGTTCAAAACAGTAGAAATTTACATTGCTAATATGTCTGTAGATATCATTAACAGCCTTCTCAGTTATCCCCCTCATTGTAAATGTTTTCCCACTGCTAGTTTGCCCATAAGCGAATATCGTGGCTGCAACATAGATCAATATATAATCATTTGAGTGGACAATAACCTAAGGGATAAAAAATTGAATTGATGAGTTTTGAAACTACCATTGATGCCCATCAGAGAAGATAAGGCAACATTCTTTACTCCTTCCTCATATACTGCCTCAGTCAAAGAAGCGGGACCGAAAACTTTATCTGCAATAACAAATATGGATTGTAATGGCAGATCGAGTATTTGGGAAAGAAATAAAGAACATGACATGAAAAATCAATGATCGGATGCCATTAGTACCAAATGCAAAGGAGGACGGTTGAGTTTGACGTTCCTGAGGCTGAGGTTTGTACACAATCGTAGTATCATCAATGCACTCCCATGCCATTTGATCTTTCGCTTGCTGCTCCTTTTTATTCAGAGGCCTTAACCGAACTGTAACAACGATTTTCTCTTCCTTAGATCGAGGTCCTCCAGGTGTTGATGCTGGCGTCCTCTCTGTTTTTGAAGCTGGCGTTGCAGGAGTTTTGATAGTCATCGTGGTAGTTAATATCTAGCTACTTCTCCTTCACAGCCGGCCAAAAAACCTGAGAAGGGAGTGAACTGATTAGAGACCTAAACGTCCTTCTTCTCGGGAAATAGCTAGAATATCTGCTGCAGCTTGAAGATCATGAAATAAATTATCAGAACCAAACACAATTCAATGTCAGATTAATTAAAGAGAAGAAAAATCAGTCTTCAAAGCAACAAGAAGTTTAATCAAACACATTGCAGCCCAGGTATATTCTTTAAGAAGTCAAATTTAAGGAGGACTCAAGATATCAAGCTAAACCATTAAACATTTTTGGAGCGCAATGCCAAATCCAAAAATTTCCAACACCAGGTCGTATGTTCAGAAACCCTATACACTCAGTGATGCACCGTTTCACCTTTGAGGGGAAATTGAAACTTCCGCCTCGGGGACGCACTTCAAAACCTTAAATTGAACGAAATGGCAGAAATACAACAACGATTGTACAGAAACAAAATCAAACCAGTTCTCGAGTGAAAAATCCTCTAAAAATGAAGAAAAGGAGGAGTAGTTCGTAGTTACATAAAATCCGAGCGGAGCAACTTCGACGGCCAACACACTCTTGAGTTCAGATCTTACTCTGAGGCCGTAAAATTGGCAGCGACAGAAGAGAGAAAAAGCTTCGAGAGCTTCGAATTTGCCTTATTAGGGTTCAGAAGAGGAATTTGAGAGAAACAGAGAAAGAGAGAGGGAGAGAGCAATCTTTCTCTACGAAATGAAAACTTATGTTTATGGCTCTGTGCGTAGGACCAATTGATTTGAAACCAGTGGCTGCAACGGCTAGTTTTTCTTTTTCTTTATTTATTTATTTTTTCTCTTCCCTCTAAATAAAATATTAATTTAATTATTACATTGGTCCAGATGAGTGGGACCCGGTTTCAGGATGTAACCGTTTGTATTTTCATTATATGCTTTTCTTTTTATTTCATATAATTCTCACAAAAAGACAAAATTAAAGAGTTGTTTTCCTAAAACGCCCCCATAACTTACATTATTATTTCTCTTTGAATCTCACGTTAACTTGTTTTTTTCTATTTTCGTTTTAATTAAAGCAAAAAATATATATATATATATTAAATTTCAAATTTTCTCAAATTACACCTCATTTAAATAAATGTTTTACATTTTAATTTGCATGATAAATATATTTATTCTTACGATTGTATTTTTTTACAGTAGTAGGACAGCGACGGTAAACAAAGAAATTTGATGGTTGTAAATTTATACATCTTGACACAAAAGGAAATGAAAACAATAAAACAAATTTGGAGAAAAACTAAAGTAATTGGGAGATAATTAGTTGTAATTAAGAGAAATAATTATAATGAACATTGCCTTGAAATGTTGCAGAAATAATTTGATCCGAATTTGAATCCCAATCTCTGCCTTCAGCTTCTCCACTTATAATCAACGATTTCTCCATTACATTATTGTAATCACTTTCTTCATTCCCTGTCAATCCAAAACCCAACAAAATTTATTATTATTATTTTTTTTTTCACAATTTAAATAAAAAAATTTAACCAAAGTTAATTAAAATTTACCTTGCGTTAATAGTAACAAACTGTCGCTTAAATTCCCTTCAATGTCTTGTAGCCATTGCCTGTTATCAAATGCCTGTTTCCTCAAATTCTTCAAGGTTCCCTATGTTTATAAAATAAATAAATAAATAATTTAAGAATAAAAAAGAAAAAAGAAATGAAAATGTTGAGGATAGTTGGGAGTGGGTTGGGAGTGGGTCCTTTTAGGGAATGATCATGAGTTTATGCCTAAAGCGGACAATATCATACCATTGTGGTGAGCCGTGATTCCTAACATGGTAATAGAACCATGTCCTAAACTTAGTCATGACAATAGAATCCTCAAATATCGAACAAAGAATTTTAAGCCTTGAAGGTGTAGTTAGAAGTGAGTAAAGTGTCGAACAAATAGTGTATTTTGTTCGAGGGCTCCAGAGAAAGGAGTCGAGCCTCGATTAAGGAGAGACTATTCATAAGAAGAGGCTATTCTAGAGCTCCATGAGCCTCAAGGGGAGACTTATAGTCTACTTTGTTCCGAGGGGAGAATAGTTGGGAGTGAGTCCCACGTTCCCTAATTTTAGGAAATGATCATAGGTTTTTACAAGTATGAAGCCTAATTTTAGGGAATGATCATAGGTTTACAAGTATGAGGCCTAATTTTAGGAAATGATCATAGTTTACAAGTATGAGGCTTTTTGTGAAAGCCCAAAGCAAAGTCACTAGAGCAAAAGTGGACAATATTATATCATTGTGGAGAGTTATGATTCCTAACAGAAAATTACGTACCTCGTGAATATTTTGAAGCTCTGAGAATGTATAAGTTCGACCATTGATTACAGCCTGAACAACTTGGTAAATGGGGTTCAAGAAAAGCGTGAAATTGTGGCCACGAAAGAGATAGAGCTTCTGTCCCAGCTCGCATGTCTTAGCGTGCTTGGTGGTGGCTTCCCACATTCTCTCCGACATTCCCATGCCTAAGATCTTCATTCATACTTGTAATGTTAGGAAAATATTTGGATTTGAATCCAACAAGAACAAGGGTACAAGGAGAATTTGTGTTTGTACCGTTCTTAGCTTTTGTTGGTCCACAGTGAAGAACTGTAAGAACTCTTGAACTGTTTTGATGTTGTGATCGTTTAGCCTCCTGTGGAACACTCCTTCTTTTCCTATCTTTTCTAATCTCCATACTTCGTCGTGTAACATTGGTGGGTAATGCTTTTTGTACACTTCAATCACCAAAAACCAACAACAAAAAATACCCTTTTGAGAATATATTTCAAATCGTTCTATAATTTAGGTTAGGTTTTTACCGACAGTCTTGAACTTCTAGTCTTAATAGAAACATTAAAATACCTTTAAAAAGTTGAATTAGGATAAATTTCATATTTCTATAGGGAGAATATATTAAAAGATTACAACGAGAGGGAAAAAAAAAAGACTTTTTTGAACTGTGACACTATTTTGAAAAATGAAAAAATTATGGAACCTATTTAAAAAATGAAATAAACAGAACCCATAAAAAATTTACCAATAAAAACTCGAGTTTTTCATGAGATAGTGAAATTATTATACAAGTTAAAAATGATGGGTAAAATAGAAAATTATTTACCATAAGGTTTTTTTTTTCTTTTTTGAATTTTAGTGTTAATTAAAAATTTATAGTTTCCAAGAGGATGGGAGAAAGATATGGAGAAGAAATATTTTTAATTTTAGAAAATATTTTATTTAAAAAAAGAGATGGTAAGACTCACATTCACCGCGCTGATCATTGACCACAAACGGTTCGCTTATAGCTTCACGGATCCGGGGGCTGTTATTACGATCCGACCCGGGAACAATTCGGGCACCAAGCCGGAACTTCCTGCTCCTGATCCAGCACGAGTTGTCCGTGAATTCAATATCTCCGATGGTTGCAGCCCCGTGCCGGAGAGTTACATTCATGTCGCCGTGAAGGAGCGGCCTCCTTCCAGTACGCTCTTTCACAATGTTAGCATTAAATTCATCCGCCGTCCAGTCCTGTTTATCGCCAGGAAAATCGCCATTAAGCGCCACAATTTCTACTTTAACAGACGAAGAAATAAGCGACGGCAGATCTCCGCCGCCGTCCTCGACGGCAATCCGCAGCGCCTGATTTTCCACATCCGTGATCTTACTTCCGGTGAAAATCTTCGACGGTACGTTATTCACAAAATACAATTGATAACTGGAAGGCTCCAGAGCTTGAATCCTCAACGACGAAGCCCTCGTTAACGACCTCGAATACTGCATTAAACTCCGATCAACTTCCTCACAGACCTAAAGAACCAAAAATTAGCCACAAACGAAACAAAAACCCTAAATCAATTCATCCACACATTACTCGTACCACTCTTCTCAGCAATGGCTCCAATGCTTTGGTAAGATGCCTCAAGGAATTCCCCATAACGACTTCCCCAATTATCCTGCGAAAATCAGTTCCAAATCATGAATCAGAAGGAACAAATTGGTTAATTGAAGATCCGTTATGAAGACATACGACGCGAAGGTTTGGCGTGGGCGTTTCTTCTCTAGAGGAGGTGTTAAAATGGACTCTGTTTCGCAGAACAATCTCTTGGCCGCCATTGAACTCGAGAGATTTGGTGGTGCAAGTTGGAAGTTGGAAGATCGGGTAATGAATTTATAGGATGGAGATGTAAATTTGGTAAGTTTGAATGGAAGTTTCTGGGAAAGTGCTGAGAAAGTGGTGGTTGGTTTCACATTCAGAAGACTTCGAGTTCAACTCTCGGAAGTCTACTGTCTGTGTCTTTTCAGTCTTTGATAATGAATTTGGTTTCATGATTATTAAGCTTACCGCGTAATCCATCATGAAGAACAGATCTACTCTGAGAAATTGCTTAGAAGTTTCTCTGCTTCAGGGGACAGAGTTGTCGAAAAACAGAGCTATCGTAAACGAATGAAGATGATGACCCATAACTTGGATGGTTGAATTTACGTGTTGTTTTAGGATTGTGTGGGGATTCCTCTGTTTTTTGGGGATAAAGAAGCAATCAAGTGGGGGTTTGTAGCAAATGAATATAAAAGGAAGAGTGGTTTAGTGGGTCTTTGTTTAAGAACAGTAGCTGATTGCTCGGATGATGGTGTCGGCGTTTGGAGGAAAATAGTGCAGGGGTCGGGTCTGCGGCGGCTCTCTTCTTTCCACGCGCCGTTGGACTTTATATCTCTGCAACCCTGTCCTTCTCAAACGCGTTCAAACTTTGACCATTTCGGATTTGGTTTCTTTGGGGCATCACTCTTCTCCATGTCCATTGCCTTTACCTCATTCCTTGTTAGTGTAATTCATGCAGCGTTTGTTGCCAAGGATCGCCGTGTTTAAAGTCGCTAACGTCGGGGGGAAGTGTCCAGTGGCTGCGTTGATTATTGCATCCACACCGCTCCAACGCTAGCTTCCAAGAGGGGCGGATTGTGAGATCTCATCTCAGTTGGAGAAAGAACTAAACATTCTTTACAAACATGTGAAAACCTACTAGATAGATGAGCTTCAAAAATCTTGAGGGGAAGCGTGGAAGGGAAAACTCAAAAAAACCCAAATAAGACGATAGCAGTGGGTTTGGGCAATTACACGTCCTATAGTCAGAGTATGACTGCAATAGATATTATTTTTAGTTCTAAGCCTAGAAAGAAAAATTCAAATGAGACAATATCTACTGGATATAGGTTTGTGTCATTCTTATTTCTTCATTCCAACTGTTATAGCCTGGAGTAAGTCAAATTTAGATTAGTTTAGAAACAGAGTAAGAATTAGTTAGAATTAGTTAGCAAATAAAAAATTTAAAATGGGTAGATATGTTATCCGAGGTAAATGAGCTGATGGATGTTGTTTTAGATTTAAAAATGTTAAGGAGGTAAGCAGAGTTTATTTTGTGAATTGTTTTAATGTTCGTGTATACTTAAAAATATTATTTAGAAATATTTATGAGACATTTTCTTATTTATTTAGATTTCGTACGTTTGGAAAATTTTTAATATTTGAGAATTAGACTTTGTCTTTGTGACTATTTTGAAATTGAATGACATTATTTTTTTTTTTTTTTTTTTTTTTT